TGGACTTGTAAAAATTTTCATTGTTTGTGGACTTAGATAAATGTTCATATGTTGTGGAGTTAGTATTATTTGAACTTGTGTGGACTTGTAATAATTTTCAATGTTTGTGGACTTAGAATAACTTTTAATGTATGTGGACTTTGAATAATTGTCATCGATTGTGGACTTATTATATTTTTGATGTTTGTGGACTTTGTATTATTTTATTGTTTGTTTTTGTATTTGGAAATATTGTCATTGTTTGTGGAATTAGAAAAATTGTCATATGTTGTGGAGTTAGTATTATTTTATCCTGTGGACTTGTAATAATTTTCAATGTGTGTGGACTTGGTATATTTTTCATATTTTGTGCTTTGAAATATTGTCTTTGTTTGTGGACTTAGTTTTTTTTCCTCTTGTGGAATTGGACTAATTTATGTTTGTGGACTTGGAAAATTTTTTTATCCTTTATGGACTTAGAAAATTTTCATGTTGTGTGGACTTAGTATTTTTTTGTTGTTGTGTGGACTTCGTTTTTTTTCCTGTGTTGTGGACTTAGAAAATTTTTCGTTGTTTGTGGACATAGAATAATGTTCATGTTGTGGACTTAGAAAATTTTTCATCCTTTGTGGACTTAGAAAATTTTTCATGGTGTGTGGACTTAGTATTTTTTGTGGTGTTGACTAAGTATGTTTTTGGTTGTGTGGACTTAGTAAATTTTTCGTTCTTTGTGGACATAGAAAAATTTTCATGTTGTGGACTTAGAAAAATTTCATGGTGTGTGGACTTAGTTGTTTTTGCTGTGTTGTGGACTTAGAATATTTTCATGTGTGTACTTGGGTTTTTTTCATGTCATGTGGACTTAACAAATTTTTCGTTCTTTGTGGACTTAGAAATTTTTCATGTTGTGTGGACTTGGTATTTTTTTTTTTGTGGACTTAGTATTTTTTCATGTGTTGTGGACTTAGTATTTTTTTGTTGTTGTGTGGACTTAGTTTTTTTCCTGTGTTGTGGACTTAGAAAATTTTCCATCCTTTATGGACTTATAATAATTTCATGTGTGGAATTAGTATTTTTTGTTGTTGTGTGGACTTAGAAAATTTTTCGTTGTTTGTGGACATAGAATAATTTTCATGTTGTGGACTTAGTTTTTTTTCATGTCATGTGGACTTAGAAAATTTTTCATCCTTTGTGGACTTAGAAAATTTTTCATCCTTTGTGGACTTAGAAAATTTTTCATGGTGTGTGGACTTAGTATTTTTTGTGGTGTTGACTAAGTATGTTTTTGGTTGTGTGGACTTAGTAAATTTTTCGTTTTTTGTGGACATAGAAAAATTTTCATGTTGTGGAATTAGTTTTTTTTCATGTGTTGTGGACTTAGTATTTTTTTGTTGTGTGGACTTAGTATTTTTTTGTTGTGTGGACTTAGTATTTTTTTCATGTGTTGTGGACTTAGTATTTTTTTTTTTTGTGGACTTAGTATTTTTTCATGTGTTGTGGACTTGATATTTTTTTGTTATGTGGACTTAGTATTTTTTTCATGTATTTGTGGACTTAGTATTTTTTTGTTGTGGACTTAGTAATTTTTGTTGTGTGGATAGTATTTTTTTGTTGTGTGGACTAGTATTTTTTTCATGTATTTGGACTTAGTATTTTTTGTTGTGTGGACTTAGTATTTTTTTGTTGTGTGGACTTAGTATTTTTTTCATGTGTTGTGGACTTAGTATTTTTTTGTTGTGTGGACTTAGTAATTTTTTGTTGTGTGGACTTAGTATTTTTTTCATGTGTTGTGGACTTAGTATTTTTTTGTTGTGTGGACTTAGTATTTTTTTGTTGTGTGGACTTAGTAATTTTTTGTTGTGTGGACTTAGTATTTTTTTCATGTGTTGTGGACTTAGTATTTTTTTGTTGTGTGGACTTAGTAAATTTTTCGTTCTTTGTGGACATAGAAAAATTTTCATGTTGTGGACTTAGAAAAATTTCATGGTGTGTGGACTTAGTTGTTTTTGCTGTGTTGTGGACTTAGAAATTTTTTCATTATTTGTGGACTGTACATTTTTCATGTATGTGGACATAGAAATATTTTGAGCATAATAAAAGAAAGTATATAATCAATGTCTTTATTTTTCCTAAGTTAACATACAGCCATATTGGATTTGTAGAAAACGGGATGTCATAGAAAACGGTAGTTTTCGAGCCAGAGAAATTTCCCATTTTCTTTGATGGTTTCCCATTTTCTTAAGTTGAACAGAAAACGGGATTTTTTTCAAAGTCGCTATCTTTTTAAGATAGGTTCTGGCAGCCCGTTTTTTATTATATAAGTTATTTTAGAGTGTTTATTGAGCAACAAAGGTGATTTTTCAACTGAAAGAAAGTAGTTATTCCAAATTAGTTTTAAGTTAGTATTTTAATGTTTTGTTTGCAAACTGACTTTAACCATATTGACAATAGGTTTAGTCATAAAGCTCTCTCGACACAGATATCGTGTCTATGGACTAGTCGTGTGATAGATCGACAATGTCCAAGCTTTTGTTTGCAAACAAACATCAAAACACCAACTCACAACCAATGAGGAATAACTACTCTCTCTCAGTTGAAAAATCACCTTTGTTGCTCAATAAACACTCTAAACAACACCACATGTGTTCCCGTGTACCTGTCAGAAAAGGGAGAAACAAAAACAGCATTACAAGTCAAATTATTCAACACATTAACTAATCTCAATGATGCATTTCAACTACTTTACTTATAATCAACTAATCTCAATAATGCATTTCAACATCTTTACTTTACTTTACATATAATCATATTACATCAACTAAACTCAATGATGCATTTCAACATCTTTACTTTACTTTACATATAATCATATTATCTCAATGATGCGTTTCAACATCTTTACTTTACTTTACATATAATCATATTATCTCAATGATGCGTTTCAACATCTTTACTTTACTTTACATATAATCATATTACATTAACTAATCTCAATTCTTCACACATTACCTTCATCTTCTCATGTCGCTCCACTTCTTCTGGTGCCTAATCACTTGTCGTCGTCATCTTCTACCTTATGTGTCACTCAAAATGCACATCAGGCAATAAAGAAAACACAAAATTCAACTCAAATACATATATTCTATACACTTAGCAATATAATACAGTACAGTACATCATCTTCATAGGGACAACACCTATGCATTCACAGAACATCATCTTCTCGGCTCCATACGGCTAGAAGTTCACACGACAGCTATACATTCACTGGACACCAGCTTCTCGGCTCCATACACCCCGGTCAATGGCTATACGTTCACAGGACATCATCTTCTCCCCTCACTGGTACCACGGCTATTAGGTTCACAGGACATCTTCTCGGCTCCAGTCACGACACCTATACCTTCACAGGACATCATCCTCTCGGCTCCATACACCCCGGTCACTGGAACACAGGACATCTTCTCTGGGACAACAGCTATACATTCACTGTACACCATCTTCTCGGCTCCATACACCCCGGTCACTAGAACCACGGCTATTAGGTTCACATGACATCTTCTCGGCTCCAGTCACAGGGACGACGGCTAGAAGTTCACGGGACATCTTCTCGGCTCCAGTCACAGAGACGACAGCTATACATTCACTGGACACCATATTCTCGCCTCCATACACCCCGGTCACAAGGACAACGGCTAGAAGTTCATGGGACATCTTCTCAGCTCCAGTCACAGACACCTATACATTCACTGGACACCATCTTCTCGGCTCCATACACCCCAGTCAATGGGACGACGGCTATACGTTCACAGGACGCCTTCTTCTCGGCTCCAGTCACAGGGACGACGGCTATACTTTAACAGGACATCATCTTCTCGGCTCCTTACAGCGACTTCGCCCCGTCGCTTCAATCTGAAACCGACAAAACACAACAATGGAGGTCAACTCGTAATGGCCTTTTCTATCAAATGCAGTCCACCCGTCGGCTTCGTCACTCGGGAAACTCTTCTTATACTACCTACAATATACACTTCACGGCCACACTTCTGGGCAAACTATCATTGCTCAAATAATTCACCCACAAAAACACTATCTCTTGGTATGGAGCAACCTCCGCGGTTATTCCCGGCTCCGTCGTCGACGTGCCTCTTCCTTTCTTCGTAACCGCCGAGGTAAATGCACAATACTTGGTCATCTCCTTCCTTACTCTTACCACGAGGAACATACCCTACACCACTCGCTCCACTGAAAAAAAAACATCCATAATAAACACCATTCCAAAAAGTGTTCATGCATCCACTCTCCTTCACGATCAACAACACTCTCTTAGACATATCTACCAAAACCAAATTGCTTCCTTTTAAACCGCTACAAATACCAACTTCTTACCAACATACACATACTCTACTACAAACCATTCACCAAGGCTAGTACCAATCATTACACAGCCTCCAGTGTGTAACAACAATACTAGCCTGCTACCAACTAACTTCTATACAATTACAATACATACCCACAACAAATTCACCTTTCATCTTAACCAAATTCAAACAAACGCTTCCACTTTAACACAAACAATCGGCTCCTTACCCTTTCGCTCCCATCTCCGTCGCCGAATAACCACTGGCTCTTCCACCATCACTGCCGCTTACCACTCCAATCCGGCCTAAAAAAACAAACACATCAACACATTAGTTCCCCCACAACAATTCATAAACCTTTCACGCCCTAAACCGCTCCAACGCCACTCACCAATTATATATATATATGCCTCTACACTAGTCCCAACATTTCTATTACCTGCTACATCCATTCTCCACATATACTAATCCAAAACTAACCTACAATTTACATCACTATACACGTCTTCCAACAATTACATTCTACTCAATTTCTTACAACTAAATTCACTATGACCCTAAACTATCACAAACAATTCACGATGCACCACACCACACTACTTATCTTAAACAACTGCTGCTACCGCCGCCGCCCCTGCTGCTTCTTCTCCTCAACACAGTCCACCACTCCATCCTCAAACCTGAAAAACAGAAACCTTTCACACAACCTCCATAATGCACCATGCTTATTTCTCCCAACTTTAAACATCACTGGGTACTGCTACCCGAAAAAACTCCTATATCACTTGCCTCTTATAACAAACTTTACCTACAACTTTCAAATACAATAACAACTCACCTTCAAATAATACATTGCACAATTTCACATCACCGTATCCAGTGTCGACGCGCTCCTCTCCACAATTCGCCCATATTCCTCCACCACCAACATGAAAACAAAAAACAATACGTCAATGTTACAAATGCTCTACTCTTCAAATTATAACAAAGTATACGTACAACTTCAATAAACAATACTTACACATTTACTGCCTCTCATTTCCAAAATTCAGTCAAGCATTAATGTCCCTCTGGATTATCACACACCAATCACGTCTTCTGGACTGCAACAACTCCTGTACAAAACAATTACCACATCAATAACCACGACCAAAGTCCCTCTTCATTTTCATATCAAACACACCCCACCTTCAACCACTTAACAGTATACATTACCTTTTAGCACATGCTGCACACGGCGACTGGTTACAACATCGACTTCTCCCCCACCTCTGGATGGCGACCATACTTCCTCTTGGTTAGTCGATACAGTCAACACAACACTATATTCTACTCTAACATTTTTCGATTTCTCATTATCACACTTTTGGAGAATGGGAGGGGCATCCCCCCTCCCCTTATTCCCATGCAAGGTGAAGGGCACAAGCGCCTACACCGCCCAACTAGGCAGCATGCCAACTTTGTGCTTGCCTAAAGGATCATAGCATTTTATGTCAAGGGCATACAACCCTCCAGTCTTTAACATTTTGTCGGCTAGCTCCGACGACTTTCCCCAGATACGAATTCGCAACTTTCGATTTACAACTGGTACCTACTTTACTGCTAGGTCAACAGGGACACAGGGGGTCTAGGAAGTGTGTCCAACCCACTTTCCACCGGCCCGGGAATCGAACCCGAGACGTCCCGCTTGCGAGGCGAGAGCGGTACCGCTCTACCGCCGGCACCCCCACTTCGGCTGTGACCCCTTGTGAGGCGGGCGTCAGTCAGCTATGGGTACGGTTCCTCGACTAAGTAGTGCCCTTTCACAGGTTTATACACCTCACTTATGTCTCCCCGTGCCCATCTCTAGGCACTTTTGGGTGCACGAGAGAACCACCACCAGACCCCAACCTGAAAAAAAAATGGGCATTCGTTATCCATTTATCAAATCTTTCTCACTACTATATAATAAACTCAACTTATCAAAACTCATTTACATTTTCTTTAATCTACAGCCGAGGCACAAAATTCAACATTTTAAACTTAACATTACCAAACTCAAGCCACAATCATTTATTTTAATGTCAACTTTTAACATTTCTATTGCTCTACGGCACAAGACCAAAAATCAATTGAAAATTTAACAACTCTTTTACAAACTTCAACGTCACTTACCCTCAAAAAAATACCGGCTCCTTCCACCTCCAACAACAACAACCTGAAAAAACCATTTATTACCTAACCAATAAAACTTACACTCATTCTCAATACAAATATATTAGCCATGAACCACTTCTCAAATTACAGCTACAACTTCTCTTTAGTCAAACACAACTACACCTTCCATTTTAAATACCATATTGACGAATTCCTCACCGCAAGTGTAGACGCGCTAGCCATCACCTACAAACTTAGACCACGTTCTCTTCTCTATTCCACAGTATAAGCCTTCCGTACACCTGCAATAAAAGGCATCAACCTTCAAAATTTACAACAAACTAGTCAAAATTAATTAAACAAAAGCACATACACAATAACAATTAAGAACACTCTAGTCTGCGTATAAAACTAACAGACGACAACAAAATACGACCATAAACACACACAACCGAGAGTGTAGTACCATTATATAGCCTCCAGTATATAACAGCACAAACACAACACCCATTCAACAATTTCATTCACCTAAACTCCAAATTCGGGGTCTACCTCTGTGCCGGTCACGTCTCTGCAAAAATCAACCTTTCCCACGCTAGTTGGCTCCAACTTAACGCTCATGCGGCAGCCCACTGCGACTTCCTTGCGGTTGCTATTTTCTGAAAATAAACTACTACAAAACTCTCATTAATACAATTTTCTTCACTATTTAACCAAATATACCAACATATCTTAACTTCCCATGACTTTCAATAACAAGGATTATTTTATTACCAAAAAATTCTACCTTTCCTTTAATCATTTTCCTAAAAGTCATACAACCCAAAACACATCCACCAATCACAATCACCTTTACATACAGCCTAAGTATTCACAAGTAAAATTGCGAGCACGAGACCCAGGGTCAGTTAGATGCATCTTTAGCTGACTACATTCAAAACGTTCGACTTTACTTTTATCCTCTTCGCCACTGATCGGTCACGTCTCTTTTCCTTTATATTCTTCACCAAAAGGTCAGCTCGCTAGCTGCCCGGGCAATCGGTCACGCACTATTTTCAAATACTGGGCATGCACCGGCTCCTCAATGTACCTGAACCCGCTCCAGTGTTGGTCAAGTCTTCTCTTCAAAGAGCTCACACT